TGTCTGTAGTTTGATGGAGAAGTTAGACAGGATGAAGTGTGTTACTTGGCAACACACATCATCCTGTGTCTTCACATAGCGCTCTGCAAATATGCATGAGTGATGCGCTGTGTGAAAAGTAGGCACAGCTACGACCGTTCTCAGTTAGGCGTGGTGCACACAGTGTGCACCACAGTGTTCAAAAAGTCTGCCCTAGCTCAGTCTGACATAAGAGATCAGACCTGTCTTTGTATGCCCAACTGGTGCACTCGAGTCCAAGTGTGCAGCTTTAAAGTCAGGGGATAACACTGAGTACAAGCATGCCTGGAAGGCTCCAAAAATCCATCAGAGCTGCTCTGGGAACAATGCACAAATGTTCCAGTGTACCTGTACATTTTATGTATGTGAAAATGCCAGTTAACTGTATATCCATTCTGTTCTACAAAACCAGATTTCATAACAGTGTTCTTTGATTGAACCAGCCACTGATCTCAGGTTCAAACCTGCCCAATGCTACCAGGTGAAAACCCACCCTCAGGCTTATTAGAAACATGGAGCATTGCTGTTCTGTAAGCTTGGATAAAATAAGGCCACATCTTATTATTCGTTCAGTCATGACACTGCTTTGGCACAGCAGGGGTTATGATGCAGAAAACCCTGATTGACAATCAAGGTCATTTGTCAAAAATAAGATCACATTCCTGATAGATAACTGTGGACAGACACACAAGATTAAAACAGGTAATAGATATGAGTATCTAAGTATTAAGGGCGCGGTCACACTGGCCATCCGTACCGTGCCCTAGCACGCTTCAACCCTAAAGTCCAGTTCATTTGACCAGTGTGACCGCTCCGTATCGTGCTCAGGCACGGTACACTTCCTGGGCTTTGGCTCACTTCAGAGAGGTGTGTTTCAGCACGGTACACTTCATACACGAGCACAAGCACGCGGGGTAAACAACGCTGACAGCCTTCATTATGGAGAAATCCAGAGTTTCATGTCTGTATCTGACTAACATGACACAATATAAGACACAAAGTAGCTCTCATGTTCTCTGTGTTGTTCTCCATCGGAGAACAATTCATTTATTTGTTGCTGTGTCTGATTAAAATGGCTTAAAATAAGCTGTAAAGTAGCTGTCGTGTTCTCTGTGACGCGGACTCGACTGCGCGTCTCTCTCTCTCTCTCTCTCTCTCTCTCTCTCTCTCTCTCTCTCTCGCGTGCATGTGTTGTATTAAGACATTATGTACAAGAGGTAATCGTGCTTTTAGGCACGATTAGTACTGGCCAATGTGACTGTGGGCTGTGCCGGCCAGCGTGGGAATGGCGCAGCGGGGGGGCAATCAGGCTTGAGTACAGCATGGTACAGATGACCAGTGTGACCGCGCCCTAAGTCTGCAGGCCAGTGGGATAAAACACACATTTTTTCTTCAGTCTCATATAAGAGTCTACAGAGTGTCTTTGCTGACCTTTCGTTTGGTGCTGACCGGGTTGTTTCTGAGTTTGGTGGCCATGAAGGACGGAGCACAACAGCATTTCACAAAACACAACATTTAACGAATCCCTACAGAAAAAAAGTAAGAAAAATCTTAAATTCAAAAACATTTAAGGAACACAACATTCCTCAAATTTTAAATGTCTCTTTTCAGATTACCAAAAAAGGGGAAATTACACTTCTCGTTGCTTGTTTGTGGGCATCCAATCACTAGGTGGCGCTGTTGTGAGAAAACTGGTGTTGTAGAGAAAGCATCCTGTAACTGCAGCTTTTAGCCTATACTGCAGGAACATTTTTGGATCTTTCCAATCACAAAAAGGGTTATCATGCTGCTGGTGGTGCAGTGGTTAGTGCGTGCGCCCCATGTATGGAGGCCATGGTCCCCCAAGCGGGCGACCGAGGTTCGAATCCCACCTGTGGCTTTTTCCCTGCATGTCATTCCCCTCTCTCTCTCTCCCTGATTTTGGATTCTATCCACTGTCCTATCTCTCCATTGAAGGCACAAAAGCCCCAAAATAAATCTTTAAAACAAAAAGGGTTATGTTTGATATTTTGATACATTTCAACACTTCATATTCTAAAATAATGAGTTTTTGCTGTTTAATGGATTGATGGTATCGAAGGTTATGGAAGCTTTGAAAAATATTTGTTCAGGTAAGCTGCTGCGAGTGAAAGAGTGAGAGCACTGTCGAAATTTCACAAATAGGTTAGCAATGTATTGTGCGTTTGTGCATTTTAGAATCATATTGCAGGTTAAAATTCTGTTAAAACAAAAAGGAGGGTTGACCAACCTTCTTTGTAAATGTTGTTTTGTGAACGAAGGTTTGACCTTCAAATGTTTGCTCATATGCTGAGTAAAATAGTGAGAGCACTGTCGAAATTTCACAAATAGGTTAGCAATGTATTGTGCGTTTGTGCATTTTAGAATCATATTGCAGGTTAAAATTCTGGTTTCGTGATAATGCGATAATCACGAACAAGGAGGGTTGACCAACCTATCTTTGTAAATGTTGTTTTGTGAAACGCACATGTGTTTTGACCTTCAGGTCCACCATAGTTATGCCTACATATGGCCCTGAGATTAATTAATAATTAATGCCGGCTGACATTTTTGATTTGTTTAAAGTGTTAATATGGAATAAAACATAGAAGTCACAAAAACTGCAGTTCCTCGACTGACCACAAGAGTCTTGCTCCCAAAAGTGAGTCAATCCCCATCAGGCGCCGTATTTAAATGCCAAATGTTACAGAAAACTTGAATATTACAGAACAGAAAACTGTTCATGACTCATGAATGTGCTGCTTGGGCAAGCTTTGGTAACAGGCAAAAGTCTCTCTAACACTGTACAGTTGACATATGAACAGGAGAGCCTCCTTAGCGTCCCTGCTTAATAAAGACAAACGCGTTTATTCCTCCTTCATTGACTCTTGCAGACACGTTTCTCTCTGTGCTTTGTATTGCTGGCAGCTTCTTCTGAGTGCCGAGGGATCTCCACGATCGATACTCTGTCTGCAGCTATGCTTTATTCTCTGTTCAGTGTTCTGTGTGCGCGGATGAAAAAATATATTTCATAAAAAAGGAGAGCTGTTCAGAAAAAACTGCTCCCTGGAAATGAATAACTCTGTGATGGAGGAGAAACACTCTTTTGATTGGATGGAGAAATATGGGAGTGTGATGGGCTTCTTTCTGCTGCAGAATATGCGGATCCTTACTAGAATCAAACAAGAACCAGCTGAATTGATTAAGTTTAATTTCACGGTCTATATTTCAGGCGGACAACTCGTGTTTTTAATGGTTTGAAATGTTTATAGTAGCCTCAAATCGAAGTTTGAGTTTGGACTTGTCACCAAACTCTGCGGTAGTAACAGAGGGTTAAGAAGTTGGCGATGTGAGTTGGTGAGACAGTACAGCGTGTGTGTGTGTGTGTGTGTGTGTGTGTGTGTGTGTGGTGTGTGTGTGTGTGTGTGTGTGTGTGTGTGTGGTGGTGTGTGTGGTGTGTGTGTGTGTGTGTGTGTGTGTGTGTGTGTGTGTGTGTGTGTGTGTGTGTGGTGTGTACACAAGGGCAGCTGAGGCTCAGTTGGTAGAGTTGGTCGTCTCTCAACTGGGAGGTTGGGGGTCGATCCCCAGCTCCTGCAGCCACATGTCCGATGTGGGCATGCCACTTAACCCTGAATTGCTCCCTCTGCTTCATCAGCGGTGCATGAGTGTGTATGAATGGGATTAGTTACTTCAGACGGTCACTTTACATATAGAAACCTCAGCCATTAGATTGTGAATGGGTAGGTGTAGCCACTTGAACTATACAAGCTCAAGTCCATTTACCATTTACCATCTGAGTGTGTGTATGTGGAACACCATGCCTCACACGCTTCCCCAATTCCCTAATACAATGTGAATTCACATACTGGGACACCAGTATGCATTTTGTAAGTACCAAGGCATAATAACTGCTGCATTTGGTGGTGGCATTTTTTATAAACTGGACATACTCTCTGTTGGGTTTGTGAGTCAACAGCTAGCTTGGTAACACATAAGAGACGATGAAACTTAATCCAAAAGTCATCCAAGGAAAAAGTAACAATTTTACATTCAGATACAGAGTCAGTCATACAGTCAGGTCTGTCAGTTCAGACACTGTTCTTTTTTTGATACTTTTTTTTTTTATTGATATTTTCAGAGTAAAACAAGACAAAAGAAAAGAAGGGAATAAAAAATGGAAAGAAAAGAAAAAAGGTAACCTGGGCCATACATTAGTCAAAATACACAAATCAGTGTTTTTCATTTAAGATGAGTTACATTCCGTACAGTACATATTCCATTTCTTCCAGACTTTTATATATTGGTCAAACTTTAGCCTTAATGAGAAGGACAGTCTCTCCATGCAGGGTATTTTGTTGATTATTGCTAACCAATCATCCTTTGATGGGGAGTTTGCCTGCAGCCATTTCTGTGTGATTGCTTTCTTAGCTGCAACCAGAAGGACTTTATAGAGATATTTATCGTCTGACATGAGATTGTCCGGGATTTTGCCCCAGGTATAGTATGATAAAAGAGCAGTTCCCTCCTTGAGTACAACATTAGTATGTCTACTTCAAAAACATGACATTTCTTCCATAAAGTCTGGTTTGAGGCGATGTAAAAGATGTATCTGATTAAAACATGATCTTACAATTTAACAAAGAGGTTTATCTGTCTGTCTGTCAGGATCCAAAAACTCAACTAAATGTATTTTGACCAGATTTATTCAGATTGAAAACCTAAATTTCAGCAGTGACAGACTGTTCCCTGTTTGTGCATGATTGTGCAGTCCTCTAGATTCTATTGAGCAGCATCTCAGCACCTCACTAGACATTTACTTCTGCAGTCTGAAGATATTTAACAGTATGTGCTCACTGTGTACTGTAGTATAAAGTATGACAGCCTCTGAATGCTCAGACGGACGCTCTGCTTCATGCACTCTGAGTGACTCTCCTGTCGAATCTTAAATGGAGATATATTAAGACCTGTCTTGTCTTTATTTCCAGGCAGAGCGAGAGCGTCAGTACGAGCTCCCCCAGGCCCACCGCCCCCCTAAACCCCCGAAGGACCCCTACCTGGTCGAGCAGGTTTTCTCTCCTCACCCCTTCCCCCCCTCCGTTAAAGCCCACGTCAAAGGTAGCCCCCTGTACACGGACCTGAGGCTCACCAGCGTGTCGGACGGGAAGCGTGGTCAGCCGTCCTGGACCTTGGAGGAGTACAAACGCAGCTCAGGAGAGAAGGGGAAGCAGCTCACCGCTCTGGACCTGCAGGTACTGAATGCTGACACATCTCAGAACAGACAGGCTGAAAGGAGCATGACTGCCTGTAACTGTGTAACTGTGGCTGTTTAAACTTAATCTATCTGTGAAAGGTAAATGCTATGCTCTTGATAATTGTAATTTTTGGGATCTTCTCCTTTCAACATGAGTGTGTGGAGAGCAATGATTAGACCAAGACAGCTTACCACACACTAAAGCCCGTTTCACATTTACACTCCTGTAAATATCTAGATCATTTCAGGAGGACTGCTCCAGATATTCCAATATTCAGACGACGCAACAGAGTCCACTATACGATGCTATAATGAAAATATTTGTATCTTTAGCAATGCCACATGTAGTTCAACAGAAAGACTCCAACCACCAGAGTGGAGAACAACATCCTGGAGAACAGAAAACATATTGCAGCTGTTTATTTATGTGCAGGGAGATCATAGCGGTCGCATGCAGGCACTCTATGAAGCGTGCAGCAGTCACAGTATATTAACGTCACCACCCCCTTCTATTGGCTCCAGGTGATTTCTCCTGAGAATGTCCTGCTGCATTCTCACATCAGCTCACTTGGACTTGCTGCGGAATAAATACTAAGGGTCTGGCAGGAGAAACTCCGGGTGAAGTCTATTTGTGTTCACACTTACAGCTCCTCCTGCAGCGTAAAAGCCCTACAACAGATTCATTCACCAACAACCAGAGTCCTCACTCTAAAAACTTAAAATCTTACTCAATCTCTCGCAGTTGAAAGCGACTTTTGAGTAAACAAGTATGTTGGGAGACGAGTAGAAAGATTAGACAGCTTGCTTTATAATTGGCTATCGTTTTTTTCACGTGACAATCCACAGAGTGCGTACTCGGCTGTCCTCGGGGTTCGCCCCACAAGACAGCAGATCTGATCTTAGGTATTTAACGAGACATATGATGAAAAATCCACTTGTACAGTGTTTGTGAACATTTATTTGGGTAACCTGAGTGTCTACTGACCCACAAAATGTGAAATAAATCCATCCAGTCCTTTCTTTGTGGTCTGCATAAGTCTACCAACACAGAGAAAAATGCTCTGTTATTGAATTTAAAGAGACACACACACCAAAACGGAGCGTTCTGAGAGAGCTGGATTATACAGGGTCACAAACCTCCTCTGGTGCTTGATTCATGTTATATTTTGAAAGAGGGGCGGAGCCAGAGTCAAAACACCCCAACATGGCAGAAAACATGGCAGAAAACAGCCTTACAGTGGATCAGGAGGAAAACAGTTTCAATACTGCGATGTTGGAGTCTGACATTCTGAGCTACTTAGAGCCAGAGCAGAGGGAGGAATCGTAGAGGAGCAAGAGGTCACCAGCCGTTGTTACAGATTAACAAGTGACCATTGTTAACGGGTAAATTGGAGCCAAAGTGTCAGTCGTCGTCATAGTTACAACAGATGTTGAAGAAGGAAAGTGACACATTCAATTGCAAGTCTCCAGTTACCCCAGTCACTCTTTAAACCAGAACAGCGATGAGGAGAGAGAGGGAGAGCCGGGGACAGCTGGAGGTGTCCCTGAGGTAATGGAGCACTATAGACTGAAGTTGCTATGCTGCATTATTAATGACTTAATTAACTCATAATTAATAGTACTTTAAAAGTACTTTATTCTGATTGGCCAATTACACATAGCATTGGACCTATATTTCTCGGCAGATGACCGTTGTAAAGAAGGATTAACCATTACAAAAGCAGACTCTATGGGACATTTGGGCCTTTCAGGTAGGATGCAATGTGCGGTACACATAACGGTGCATGTTGCTTGGTGACCATTTTTTCATTCTCTGACAGGTAAACACATGGAAATCTGCTTCGTATTTAACATTTAATCACCCAACAGAAGCTCCAGTCAAACATATCCAATAGGGAGCTTGGGACTTGGGGTGGAAGGCTACGAGCTCAGTACACTCTGGATGATGAAGTATTTGAACCCTTAAGGCAGAATGGAATGACACAGCCCTTTATTTAGAATTTCTGGCCATGCATGTAGCACCGAACCATTTTTCAACTTTCTTCTGCAGAGACAGTCTGGGTTTATGACGAGTCCATCTTCCCAGCAGTAAATTTCCCCTTCAAATATACAATAACTCATTAAGGTATCGAACATCGTCAAACCAGGACCATATGGTGCACCCCCCCTCCTCAAACACAGACTCAGCAGGATGCATGGAGATGCCAACTGATAAACAACAAGGTAGAAAGATAGAACATGTTAGGGACAGAGGGGTGGAGGCAAAGGGAGAGTAGTTGGCTGAAAAGTCAAATAGCGTGATACTAAAAATAGATGCATGTCAGATATAAAGGCAGTGAGCTCTGTAATAAGTTCAAACAGTGAAGCTCTCCTCTCTCTCTATCTCTCTCTCTCTCTGTGACTGTAATTGTGAGTATGCTGCTCCTCAGTTCAGGAGAATGATTATGTGGAATCAGTGTTAATGATCCGCAATCTGCAGGCTGAGTGACTTCTAGCAGCAGATTTCAATCACTCTGATTTGTTTCAGTAATGATTACCAATATCTCTGACTAACAGGTGAACACTAACAACATTTCATCTCGGGTGCTTTTCTTTCTCTCTCGCTCTTTATCTGAGGCAGCCGTGCTCAGAGGAAATATGTTTCTTGCTTTATGCTCAGTCTAGTCTGCTCGATTACTGGACCGTCTCCCCTCCTTCTCCCCCACCCTCTCTGCTGTGGTACAGTGCGTGTTGTGCTCTTTACCTCACTAATAAACATGTTAACCTCCTTCACACAAGACGGGAGCTTAATGAAGGGACAAGCACCGAGAGTAGTTTAATCTTCCGGGCTAAAATCGATCATTTTAATGTGAAACATGTTTGTGTGAGCTGCTCTCTCTCCCTCAGTGTATGAACAGAAATCAGTTCAGTTCAATATGCTGTTGGTTGGATCATTAAAATGAAGAACGTCTCTGCTGGCAGAGCAGATTGTAACAAACAAAATCAATCTTTGTGTATCACAGTCTGCAGTAACCATGTTCTCAACATATGGCTCCTGCGGAACAACAACATGAACCTACACTTCACTGAACTGGAGACTGTAAACATTAACCCTCACAACTCAGCAGCAGAAGTGCTCTGCCAGACACCGCCTATACCAGGGGTGGGCAACTGGCCCCACATGTGGCCCTCATCAACCCTCAACGTGGCCCTCAGGTCAATTTTGACATATCGATTAATAGGAAATATGAAGAAAATGTTACAAAATCTGCCATGAAATCATGAAAACCAGAAATACATCCATAATAATATTTGATCACTGATATATGTTGAGTTAAATTTGAGACATAATTTTTTTTTTTATAATTGATTCATAATTGATCGTTTTTGTATACTACAATTTGGCCCTTTGGCAGGGAGAATTAATTGAATGTGGCCCTTGCCATGACCAAAGTTGCCAATCCCTGGCCTATACAGTATAGCATTTTTGCTTGGGTCTTCTGAGTCATTGCATAGACATTTTTTGATCATGTCATTATGCACCATGTAAAACATGATAAAAACGTGTTAAAAAAAACGTGCTGCAGGGTTTTTTCCCAATTTACCCACAGAACAAAATATCCGTGGCCATATTCATAAAGCTTCTGAGTACTAACAGTTGCCATTCCAAGAAAATTCTAGGAAAATAAAATTATATCTTCTTATATCACCGTAGCTCTTAAGAGAGCTCCTAAGGAGAAAAAACAGTTGGTGTTAGTTAGAAGTGAGGAGGACATTTGAGAGGATGAAGAGTTTCTTAAGCAGACGAGATAACGGCAGAAAGAGGAAGAGAGAGAGACAGTAATCACAGTGAATTAGTAAAAAGCTATAGACTGGATCATGCAGGAAACATGTTGGAGGGAGCTCTCATTAGAATTTAAACTATATCCAGCCCAATGCAATTCAAAGTTAATGCCAAGAGCAAATAAATCTATCAGCATGTTAAGAGACATGTGTTTTAAATAGGGTTGTCAGACAATTTATAATCCTGATTAATCGCAAAATGTCAATAGTTAATTGTGATTAAAAGCATTTTTAATCATATGTTTGAAATTCCATCGTTTCACATTTAAGAATTTAAATAGTTTGGCTTTTATTTTGAATTGTTGCACTGTCTTAAACTCAGAGTACTGGCTGTTGAAATTCAACCCAGTAGTTTACTTCTATAAAGTAAAGGACCTTCTGGTAGATTGAAGGTTATGACAATAACTTAACCTCGGCAAAAACTAAATAAAAACAGCTCAAGTGAAGGTAAATGTTTGAAGTCATAAGGTGGATATTTACTTTTGACTCACCAGCTGAGCTCTTTGAGAGTTTTGAAATAGATGAAATGACTTTCAAAGATGCAGCGGTGTTGTTGTTTTCCATGACTGTGACTACAGGGAGACACTGAGGAGGCTCATCCATTGTGAGCCTAAAGGTACAAAGCAAGCGATTAATCGCAATGAAAAACAATAATGCATCAACTTCAGATGTTAATTAAACATGGTTAAGGGTCTGTTTCCACAGACAGTGTTTGCAATACAAACCCAATGTAGTTCAGCGCTCAAAGTCCGAAGCGCTAAAACGCCCTCGGTGTCAGCTGTTTCTTGTCGCAGTTGAGGGAAGTTTAACTTTAAGAACACGCTCGTCAATGTTACTTCTCCCTCAGTGACCAATCAAAACAATTACAACCATCAAATTTGTCCACAACAAATGATGAGGAGACACTAGTCTGACTCTTCTTTTCAAGGGTTTAATTTCCAGGTGAAGAGCAGCTGCTGATGCCAGGACACGACTCCTTGACATTGTTTTCATCTTTCCTTGATCATATTTCCTTGAATTAAAGACAATATTAAGCACACCTATTTGTCATTACCAAGGGAAGGAGAAGGTAGCCTTGGTACTGTAAGGTACCAACAATAAGCGGTGGTGAGAAATGCTCTGAAGTGGTGTTCAGGGCGCAAAAAGCGCTGTCTGTGGACACAGGCCCTGTTAGTACGTATTTTCATGAATTCATTCATCTTGATAATTTTGTGGATATATCTTTAAATTGTGTCAACCATCTAAGAGTAATTCTTCTTTTAGGTTTGTGAAGCTGTAAGACATGTGTAGAGACCTCATAGCAGCAGAGTTATATTTGGATTGAAGAGTCTGTTGTGAGCAGAGAAGGAAATGTGACTCTGAGACTGAAGAAATGGAAGAGTCAAGGTGATGTCTTCTTTCTAGCCTTTTAGAGATGAACCGAAGCAGCCAGGAATGTGTGGGCTCTACCTTCTAGCAGAATATAAGCAACACTGTGAAGATGAAGACTTTACCAATGATTGTCAATGATTGTGAGATCTTGGTCAGCATGGGTCAGCGATGGTCTGCACTTTGTCAGCCATGTGTGTTGTGTTTCTGTGTTGTCTGACCATGGCTGAATAAATCTTCCACATAAGTGGAAGTAAATAAGATCCACAGTCTGTTTCATGATTTCATCATTGTTCATCTACTACAGAAACAACCCCCACCTAACAGGCCCTAACTAGTTAATGCTCAGCACTAGTCTTCAAACATTCTGTAGACTAAAGTACAGCTTAAAATGTATTTAACAGAGATGTTCATTACAGTGTATTAAGTAGTGTTCATGATTTAACATGGGATTTCTCTTTGTTTAAAAGCATAAAATCATCCTCCTAGAGCCTTGAATAAGTTTTGACCACAGGCTCTTAAAATAAAACTAATGGTTTGAATTTCTAACACTCTATCTCTGTGTTGTACAAGGAAACGTGCTGCTGACTCTATTTCTTCACAGCTTGAATCAAAACATTGTGTGTTTGTTTTTCATCAGACCCAGGAGTCCCTGAACCCCAACAACCTGGAGTACTGGATGGAGGACGTTTACACGCCGGGCTTTGATTCGCTGCTGAAGAGGAAGGAGGCGGAGTTTAGGAGGGCGAAGGCGTGCAAGATCGGTGCGCTGATCGCAGCCGCTACCTGCACGGTGATCCTGGTCATCGTGGTTCCAATCTGCACCATGAAAACATGAGAGGATGGAATTATTAACCCCGTGTGTGCTGTGGCCGAGTGTGCAGAACACTGGTGGGACTTTATCTGAACCAGAATTTTCACTTCAGGTGGTCTTTCTGCCAACATATTAGAACCGCTATTGTACAATAAAATCAGCAAGTGCATACTATATAAACTGTACATAGAGGTTTAACATTAGTAGTTAATTGCATTGTTATAAACTGGGAGCCCATTGATTGGACGGTCTGTCTTTAACACCTCCAGCAGATGAACCAAACAGGATTTATCGTATAGCCAGCGTAGGATATTTTTATTTTTCGTATGATTACTGTACAGTGTATTTTGATCAAACTTATTTTTGATGAATTTATCTGCGCGAATGTGAGAATTTTAGCTTTATTTTATTATCTTCCTTCAATCACAGAAAGCGTTTGAGGAAATGAACTTTGTGCAACACATTTTTCTAATTAGACACACAGTATAAAGAAGTAGTTGAAGTAATTACAGATGTACTTGTACATAGGCTGCTGACTATGGAAGCGATTAGTGATCAAAATTGAAATGATAAAGTTAATTTGAAAATTCAAATGCATTAAGAGAAATGCTTTTTAATTTTCAGAATATGGGTGTATTATTTGACTCAAAAATAAAATGATGATTAATTTATCTAATTTGAATTTTAGTTTTCAACTTCAAAAATGCACATTGAGGAAGACAATTTCATTTGCTTTATCATTTTCAAAAAATGCCCCGCTACATCTGTATCATAATTCAAATGAAAAAGCTAATTTTAAAATGAAAATACAGTAACAGAAACACGTTTTAACTTTCAGATTATAGGTGCATTATTTGACCTATATTTAAAATGAATATTCAGTCATCCAGTTTGCATTATACGTTTACTCTCTATGTATGCATATTGTATGACATCATTCAAATGAAAAGGAAAAGGTCTTTGGCTTTTCATTTTCAAACTTGCCGTGCTAAAAAGTGATCATAATTCAAACCAACTCGAAAGTGACGTCAGACTCCAGCTCCCAGGCAGGCTAACGTAATATTTACAGTCTATGAGGCGAGCGGGCAGAACGCACAGTATGATGGGTGGTGAGGTGAATCTTTAACACTAGGGCAGACTTTAGTTCACACTGTGATGCAGGTGGTGATCGGAGTGTTTTTTTCAGCACACACTGAACTTTCAGCGAGCATGAAGCAGCAGCTTTATAACCAGAGCTGCCAAGTATCACGCGTGACACCACGCCCACTATCTCTGACCGTGAGAGTCACTCAGCATCTACACGCCGTGAAATTCACACAGATGTGTCCTAAGACCGCTTTATTGATAAGATTATAGATCACTCTCTTCTCTGCTTAACTTAGTTACATTAAAAAAGATTATCGAGTGAATTTTCTGTTTCAAATAATCTCTCCAGCTCTGTACACAAAGTTTTAATGTCTCTCATCCTCTGTGCGTAATGGCACACACTCTCTCTCTCGACCAACTGTATGAGCTCTCTCTCTCCCTTTCAGAGGTTGTTTTGTAGTTATTAAAAGAATAATCAACTACAACGCCAAAATTGAATGAAAATCAGGGCAACAACTAGTTTGGAGCTTGTACCAGTGTTAAAGATTCACCCCGCCACCCATCATACTGTGCGTTCTGCCCGCTCGCCTCATACACTGTAAATATTACATTCCCCTGTCTGGGAGCTGGAGTCTGACTTCACTTTCCTGCGCCGTCCACTTTGCCATTTCGTTTTCGAGTTGGTTTGAATTATGATCACTTTTTAGCACGGCAAGTTTGAAAACGAAAAGCCAAAGACCTTTTCCTTTTGTCATACAATATGCATACATAGAGAGTAAAAGTATAATGCAAACTGGATGACTGAATATTCATTTTAAATATAGGTCAAATAATGCACCTATATTCTGAAAATTAGAACGTGTTTCTGTTACTGTATTTTCATTTTAAAATTAGCTTTTTCATTTGAATTATGATACATTTTTTGAAAATGATAAAGCAAATGTAATTTTCTTCCTTATTTTAATTTAGTCAAAGAATGTGCACTTTTGAAGTTGAAAACTAAAATTCAAATTAGATAAATTAATCATCATTTTATTTTTGAGTCAAATAATACACCCATATTCTGAAAATTAAAAAGCATTTCTCTTAATGCATTTGAATTTTCAAATTAGCTTTATCATTTGAATTTTGATCACTAATCACTTCCATAGCTGACACAGTATGACTGCACAGCTTATCTGAATGTACTGATTATATTTAGCCTGTTTAATTGTAAAGGGGAAGACGTGATGAGCGTTGAATGTTCCGAGCAGCCTTCAGCTCCGTGCAGCTCTCCTCCTGAAACGCAGCATTTTTTTTTCTCTCCGTGCTCGTTTTACTTAATGTTTTTTTCTTTCTTTTTTTTGTTTTGTTGTGCAAGGCTCACCTGAGAGGAATGTAAGAGCTCAGCATTATTGATTACGCTCGTTTCCCCACACCAGCACAAACAGCGTAAACAGCGTCAACAACAAGCCTCTCTGCAGGATCGCCAGTCTGTGTGTTTGCTTCAGGTTTTCAATGCCTTAAAGAGTCGTCTGCGGCACAGCTAATCTATTAACACGCCCATTATATCTCCAGAACAGCCTTAGATTAACCTCAACTCTGATCCATCTGCTTATGAAGGTTGTCTAATTCGGGGCCATTTTGATCCTCTTCAATACAACGTGTTTTAATACGATATAATCTGTTAATGAAAGACAGTACTGAAAACTTGACTTCAGGCATGTTTTCAACCAAAAGCTGCAGAGAGAGAAAAAGAGGGAGCAGCACGGGGTCCATTCAAATTCCCAGGTCAGCAAATACTGACATTTCTCGAGTCCTTTTGGGCGTCCCAGAAAGCTGTTTCACCTTGTGTTCAGGTACACAACATGCTGTGTCATGAACATAATCGATCAAATACTTAGACTGTGCACTACGAGTGTTACTGGAGGATACCTCTAGAGGGCGTACCAGAAGGCTCAGGCCATGTTGTAAACTACAAACATGGTGATACCCAAGGAGGTAACAGATTATGTAAATTCTATTTCACAATAATCAAAAGTGAGATCAGATCAGATCAGGCGACTGATGATGATCAGTGGACACAGCATACTGTCTGCACCGTCTGCATTCTGATTCTCTCTGTGAGTTACTTTAATTATTCTGAGTCTGTAGCTTCATTTACATCCAGTGTTGTGTTTCTTGGACCTTGAGTCTTCTCTGCGATAGAGAGCCAGCCGAGCTTTATCAGTCTGATGTTTTGGACTCCAGCCGTCCTGCAGGCGGGGAACTTATTTATTTTTGAGACATTCAGGCTGTGACCTTCTGCTCGGAGGATTATGACTGACCTGAAACATGCTGTGTCATTCCCTTCAAAGTTTATCAAGGAGAATGTCTTCACAGACTCACTAGAGTCCCTCATCTGGTGAAATGATGGAGTTAAAAACAGACAAGGCAGGCAACTGCTTGGGCCCCAGACCAGTAGGGGGCCCCAGAGGGCTAACAAAATGTAAACTAAAGCAGCGACCCATAATGTGCAAATTTTGCAATGACAGGAAACCTCCCTGAGGGGGCCCCATCTGATCGCATTCTCCCTCATTGCCCTGCTGAACCCTGCGTTGGAGGGCTCCCTATATTGATTTTTGCCTTGGGCCCCAATGAACTCAAGAATCACCACTGACCTAGTGTTGTGCACTAATATGTACGAATGTTTCTGCATTGCTCCAGTAGCGGCTGGACTAACATGAACAGCTTTACAGAACAGATCCCATTAGAAATATCCTTCATTTTTAAATCAGACACTTTTCCTGACATTGCTCTCTTCAAAGAAATGAGACTCATTTCACACTAACACCTCACAAAACAAATAGAACTGCCTTGTTTGTTTGAGTTTTTTTAGTGTTTGCTGCGTTATACAGATCAAAAACAATAATTGTGTGACACAGTAAAATGGCCGATGGAATCTGGTGCCTCTGTAGAACTGTTTTCTGAGTGTTTTCTTACATTTAGGCATGTAGGTTAAGGTGCGTTTACATTTCTGTGTAACTGACTGGATATTAGTAGGCTGGGAACTACCCAGTCACAAGTCTTATAATAATCTCACAATATTGATACCTTATCTGCCCAACAGATGAAAATCACTTGTAAGTAAAATCTGGTACATGAACCTAGTGTTATTTTGTACACTTGTCCCTGATTTAAATGAACTAATACACTGCTTTGATACCACTGCAACAAAGATTGCCCAAGCCCCAAATTTAAAACAAAATAGTACAAATTCAAATCGGCCACATTAATGCACCTAAAACATTGAAAAATTGAACTGTAAAAACAATCTAGCTGTTAAAAAAAGTTAGTGTCTGGTCTGCCTTAACATTTTACGTCTACCAAATTAGAATTCAGATGAATTTGTATTCATTGAAAACTAAAAAAAATCCATTGTCAAACCTGTTATTACCTGTAATAATTTAGTTTAACTCATTCTTATTGACATTAAGTTGTTTTTTATCTCTGCTCTGTAAGGTGACCTTGAGAGTTTTGAAAGGCACCTTTAAATAAAGTGTATTATTATTATTATTATTATTAATAAGTCAACACTATGTTTCCTTTTCATTCATGGCCAAACTGGAATACAAACCAGGGTTAAGTTAAAACTCAACCACTGCTCAAAATACTTCTAACTGTGTCATGGAAGTTATATTTTATATTTAGGTTATCTTTAATATTAAATTTATCCTTTTGACAATGATTCTTAATTTAAGAGTTTAAAAATGTACTTTGTTGAGACGACAAACACACATTTTGTGTTAATGGAACATTTACACTAACCTCTAGTTTAACTGACAAAGTATAAGTTACCATGACTAATTGTTTTTTTTTACAGTGTACGTTTGTGTGAAATGAAGGCTTTGTTGCCTCCTCTTCTCTCTGTCTGTATGAAATATATAAATGAAACTTTTGCATCCAAAATTACTTAAGAAACATCAGAATTTGCAGACCTTTGAATTTGAGTCTCTCTCTCTCTCTCTCTCTGTCTCTCTTTGTTTGTTTCCATTCTCTCCATCAATGAAATATTATAGAGTGTATCCTTTTAAAACACATTGTTGAAAAAAGTATCAAAGTATTGAAATAGTTAACAACCTTATTGTAGACATAACAGTTCATTTAATGCCAGCTGAATCCTTGAATATATTTATAAAGCTTTTGTACCTTTTAGTCATTTAGACTCCAACATATGGTTTTAAAATCCTGAAACTCCCCGTGGTTATATATCATGTCCAGGTAAAGCCTGCAGCAGTTAACCAGTGTTTGCCATGGCCTCTTAATCTCATTAGAAACACATATTGTTTTCATGTGTGGAATTAAAGATGATTTTTTTTTTTTTTACATTAACAATGGCCCTTTCATTAGCCAACAAGGTTTTTTTTAGTCTTTATTTATTTTTAATTGCAGCATTTTGTAGGAAGATTTTCTACCAAGCCAACTTCT